GTCCCAGCTACTCGGGAGGCTGAGGCAGAAGAATCGTTTGAACCCGGGAGGCACAGGTTGCAGTGAGCCGAGATTGAGCCACTGCACTCCAGCCTGGGTGACAGAGTGAGACTCTGTCTCAAAGCAAAACAAAACAATAATAAAAGCTTCTTGTTTCTCTTTCTTTCTCCCTCCCCTCCCCTTCCTTTCTCTTTCTTTCTTTTTTTAAAACAGTCTTGCTCTGTCACCCAGGATGGAGGGCAGTGGCACAATCTTGGCTCACTGTAACCTCTGTCTCCCTGGTTCAAGTACTTCTGCCTCAGCCTCCCAAGTAGCTGGGATTACAGGCACATGCCACCATGCCCAGCTAATTTTTGTATTTTTAGTAGGGACGAGGTTTCACCATGTTGGCCAGGCTGGTTTTGAACTCCTGACCTTGTGCTCTGCCCAACTTGTCCTCCCAGTCTTTCCTTCCTTCCTTCCTTCCCTCCTTCCTTCCTTCCTTCCTTCCTTCCTTCCTTCCTTCCTTCCTTCCTTCCTTCCTTTCTTCCCTCCCTCCCTCCTTCCCTCCTTCCTTCCTTCCTTCCTTCCTCCTCTTCCTTCCTTCTCTGTCTCTCTTTCTTGATGGAGTCTGAATCTGTCGCTCAGGCTGGAGTGCAGTGGTGCGATCTTGGCTCACTGCAACCTACTCCTCCCAGGTTCAAGCGATTCTCCGGCCTCAGCCTCTCAAGTAGCTGGGATTACAGATGCGCACCACCACGCCCAGCTAATTTTTGTATTTTAGTAGAGATGGGTTTTCACCATGTTGGCCAGGCTGGTCTTGAACTCCTGATCTCATGATCCATCTGCCTTGGCCTCCCAAAGTGCTGGGATACAGGTGCGAGTCACTGCACCCGGCCTCTCTCTTTCTTTCTACCTTCCTTCCTCCCTTTCTTCCTTTCTCTTTCTTTTCTTTCTTCTTCCTTTCCTCTTTTCTTCTTTTTCCTCCTCCTCCTTCTTTTTCTTCCTCCTCCTTCTTCCTCCTTTCTCCTCCTGCCTCCTCCTCCTCCTTGTCTTTATCTTCTTCCTTCCTCTTCTTTCTTTTTCTTCTTTTCTCCTGGTGGGAGGATGTTGCACCAAAATCCAGAATGCTGATATGTAAACCAGTTCACAAGGAAGAAGTCTGGTTGAAGAGGATGTCAGGGATCTGCTAATAATTCTTTCTCCACTTCTGTTTGAAAGCTGCTGCTTGAACCAAAGGTTCTGGTCACCATTGCTCTCAAATACCTCCATGATTTTGCCCAGGCTGTATTCTCTGTCTGTGATGCCTGGCATCTCACCATATCCAAAGCTTCTTTCTTCTGCTTCTTTTTTTCTTTTTGAGACAGGGTCTCGATCTGTCGCCCAGTCTGGAGTGCACTGGTGTAGTCATGACTCACTACAGCTTCTCGTGACCAAATGTTATCTGTCCTTTAGGGCACAACATGATGCAACAAAGCTTCCAGCCCATTTCTGTCCCCAGCCCGCAACATTCACTCTCATGCCCAAACAGGCTTCTTCCCTTCTCTGGGCCTACACAGGACTCGTGCTTCCCTCATGGAACTGTGTCAGTACTTTCTACCACAAACTGATTATCAGTATCCAGATTTCATCTCTCAGCTCCATAAGAGGTGGGACCATGACTCTATCCAACATCTTTAACTCTTTCACAAAGCTCAAGTGTCTTGTCCTTGGTTTCATGCCAGATTCTACACCTAGAATAAAAGTAATGTTAGGTAAATGAAAGTAGGTTGACCAAAATTGTTTCCACCCTTGTGGATAAGGAATTTCTATTTCCTGGGGAGGGTAGATGAAGAAATGTTTGTCCAAGGATACAAAATTTCAGTTAGACTGGAGGAATATGTTCAAGAGAACTGTTGTACAGCATGGTGACTATAATTAATAACAACGTATTGCATTTTGTTTTGTTTTGTTTTTTGAGATGGAGTCTCGCTCTGTCACTTAGTCTGTCGCCCAGGCTGGAGTGCAGTGGCATGATCTCAGCTCACTGCAACCTCCACCTCCCGGGTTTAAGTGATTCTCCTGCCTCAGCCTCCCAAGTAGCTGGGACTACAGGTGAGCACTACCACACCTGGCTAATTTTTGTATTTTTAGTAGAGACGGGTTTTACCATGTTGGCCAGGCTGGTCTTGAACTCCTGACCTCAAGTGATCCTCCTGCCTCGGCCTCCCAAAGGGCTGGAATTACAGGGGTGAGCCACCTAGCCAATGTATTGTATTCTTCAAAATTACTGGCCAGGCGTGGAGGCTCACGCCTGTATTCCCAGCACTTTGGGAGGCCGAGGTGGGTGTATCACCTGAGGTCAGGAGTTCGAGACCATCCTGGCCAACATGGAGAAACCCCATCTCCACTAAAAATATATATATTAGTCAGGCATGGGTGGCATGCACCTGTAATCCCAGCTACTCAAGAGGCTGAGGCAGGAAAACAGCTTGAGCCCAGAAGTCAGAGGTTGCAGTGAGCAGAGATCACACCACTGCACTGCAGCCTGGGTGTCAGAGTGAGGCTTTCTCTCAAAAAAAAAAAAAAAAAAAAGGAAAAAAACTTTGGGGCTGGGTGCAGTTCTTCATTCCTGTAATGTCAGCACCTTGGGAGGCCCAGGTGGGTGGATCATTTGAGGTCAGGAGTTTGAGACCAGCCTGGCCAATGTGGTAAAAACTTGACTCTACTAAAAATACAAAAATTGCAATAAAATAAATAAATGGGAAAACAAAATAAAATAAAATAAATAAATAAATATAGTGTTTGGGAAATTACACAAGATATTGATAATGAGTTGCATTGAGGGAAAAAGCACTAGAGATCTGGGAGAAAGAGGTGGAAAGGGAACTTTCCACATACATTTTTATACCTATTTTCATCTTTATCTTTTGATCCTTTAAATGTGCTACCTACTCAAATAATATATACAGTTTGAATTAAGATATTAAAAATCTGCCAAATGAAAAAATAAATAAATAAATAAAAATAAAAATACAAAAATTATCTGGATATGGTGGTGCATGCCTGTAATCCAGTTACTTGGGAGGAGGAGGCAGGAGAATCGCTTGAACCAGGAGATGGAGGTTGCAGTGAGCCAAGATTGTGCCACTGTACTCCAGCCTGGGCAACAGAGCAAGACTCCATCTCAAAATAATAATAATAAAGTTATTTATTATTATTGCTATTATAAGCTGCTATAAACATTCATGTAAAAGTCTTTATTTAAATATACATTTTCATTTATCTTGAGAAAATATCTAGGAATGAAGGTTCTTAGTTATGTGGTAAGTGTATGTTAAATTTTATAAGAAACAGAGCAATAGTTTTCCAAAGTGGCTATATCATGTTATATTCCTACTGGCAGTGTAAGAGAGTTCCAGATGCTCTACATCTTCAGCAACATTTGGTGATGTCAGTTTTTCAAAAATTTGGACATTCCAGTGGGTGTGAGATGGTATCTCAGCATGGTTGTAATTTGCATTTTCCAGATTACTAATAATATTATCTTTTTATATGTTTATTGACCATTTGTATATCTTCTGTTAGACAAATATCTGTTCGAGTATTTTGCCATTTTAAAAAAGTTGTATTGTAGGTCAGGCACAGTGTCTCACATGTGTAATCCCAGCACTTTGGGAGGCTGAGGCAGGCAGATCACAAGGTCAAGAGTTCCAGACCAGCCTGGCCAACATGGTGAAACCCCGTCTCTACTAAAAATACAAAAAATTAGCCAGGTATGGTGGTATGTGCAGCTACTCGGAAAGCTGAGGCAGAATTCTTGAACCCAGGAGGTGGATGTTGCAGTGAGACAAGATCGTACCACTGCACTCCAGCCTGGGCAATAGAGCAAGACTATGTCTCCAAAAAAAAAAAAAAAAAAAAAAAAGTTGTATTGTGAGCCTTTTAATTACAGATCTGCAGAAATATGAGTAATATATACCTGTGTAAACACACATAACCATACTTTAGACATAAGACTTTTGTCACATATATGTATTTTGAACATTTCTCTCAATTTTGGCTTGCTTATTCATTTCCTTCATTGTGACGTTTGATGAACAAAAGGTTGGCTTTGTTCCGTTTTTGGTTTGGTTTTTGAGACAGAGTCTTACTCTGTTACCCAGGCTGGAGTGCAGTGGCACAGTCTCAGCACAGCGCAACCTCTGCCTCCTGGGTTCGAGTGACTCTTCTGCCTGACTCTGAGTAGCTGTGAGTACAGACGTGCACCACTCTGCCTGGCTAAATTTTTGTATTTTAAGTAGAGATGAGGTTTTGCCACGTTGGCCAGGCTGGTCTCAAACTCCTGGCCTCAAGTGATTCGCCTGCCTTGACCTCCCAAATAACTGGGATTACAGGCGTGTGCCCGACCAGATGAAGAAAAGTTTTAATTCTGATAAAATCCAGTTTATCAGTTTTTCTTAATGGTTAGTGATTTCTGTGTCCTAAGACACCTTTGCATATTTGTTTGCATTTTTTCCTGGGCAACAAGAGTGAAACTCCATCTCAAAAAAAAAAAAAAAAAATTCTGGTTGCTATATTTTTCTTTTAAATAATTTCAGATAGACTCTTTCATCCCAAAGTCCTGGTATTACAGGCATGAGCCACCGTGTCCGGCCTTTACTTATATTTTTATATCTTCTAGTTGCTGAGATTTTTGTTGTTGTTAATTCTATTCAGTGCGATGTATAGGTCAATCAGGGGTCTACCTAGGACTTCATATACAGGCTTAAAGAGTCCTTTTCATTGGTTTCCTGTCTTCTAAAATTTTCTCTGGGTGGCTGAAGTTCATCCTATAACTGCTGGATGGTGATGATGATCCTATTTAAATAGGGTCAAAGTCCAGGGCAGCTCATAACACGACAGCTTGCTTCTTCAGAGTGATCAGTTGATAAGTGAGAGGGAGAGAATCACGAGATGGAAGTAACAGTAACTGAATCTCATATTTGTAACCTAATCTCAGAAGGGACATCCTATTACTTTTGCTGTATTCGATTTGTTAGAAACAAGTCACTAAGTCAAGCCCATACATGGTAAAAGGGGATGACATAAGAGCCTGAATATCAGGGGCCGGTGATCGCTGGGAGTCATTTTAGAAGCAGCCTATCACAGTCTTCTCTATTTTTTTTCATCATTTTGTAGCTTTCAGAGACATTGAGAGAAGGAAAAGCTACATTTCATATTTACCCTCATGCTTGCTTAGCACTTCTTAATTATGGATATTATTGGCTTAAGTATATATATACATATATATATATATATATATTTTTGGAGACAGAGTCTTGCACTGTTGTCTGGGCTGGAGTGTAGTGACACAATCTCGGTTCACTGCAACCTCTGCCTCCCAGGTTCAAGCAATTCTCCCGCCTTGGCCTCCCGAGTAGCTGAGATTACGGGCATCTGCCACCACGCCCACTAATTTTTTTGTATTTTTAGTTGAGACGTGGTTTCACCATGTTGGCCAGGCTGGTCTTGAACTCCTGACCTTGTCATCTGCCCACCTCAGCCTCCCAAAGTGCTGGGATTACAGGCATGAGCCACCACGCCTGGCCTTAAGTATACCAATTTGTTTTTTCCTATTTATCTCATTTTTGTTCTTTTCCTTTTTGCCTGCCTTCTTTTAGGTTAATCCAGTACACACAGTGAAAGACACAGCACTGGACAGGCACTCAAACTCCTGACCTTGTGATCCACCCATTTTGGCCTCCCAAAGTGCTGGGATTACAGGTGTGAGCCACTGTGACCGGCTGGGCAATTACTGTTTTACTTTCTATCATCAGAGACTAGTTTGCCTGTTCTGGAATCTCAATTTCATATGAATGGAATCATATGGTATATATGTGTATACCCTATCCACACTGAATAGGTTGTATATATCTATATATTCCTTTTGGTTTTTTTTGAGACGGAGTCTCACATTGTCACTGGGCTGGCATGCAGTAGTATGATCTCAGCTCACTGCAATCTCCGCCTTCCAGGTTCAAGCAATTCTCCTGCCTCAGCCTCGTGAGTAGCTGGGATTACAGGCACCCGCCACCACACCCAGCTAATTTTTTGTATTTTTAGTCAAGATGGGGTTTTGCCACATTGCCCAGGCTGGTCTTGAATGCCTGACCTCAAGTGATCCACCTGCCTTGGCCTCCCAAAGTGTTGGGATTACAGGCGTGAGCCACTGCACCAGCCTCTTTTGGCTCCTTTCAAGCAGCCTGATTTTGAGATTTCCTGTATTGGCCTTTTTGCCATCCCTTTTTGTATGCTCTGTGGCCCAGGCTGGAGTGCAGTGCTTGATCTTGGCTCACTGCAACCCCTACCCCGGGCTCAAGAGATTCTTCTGCTTCAGCCTCCCTAGTAGCTGGGACTACAGGGATGTGCCACAATGCCTGGCTAATTTTTGTATTTTTAGTAGACACAAGGTTTCATCATGTTAACCAGGCTGGTCTTGAACTCTTGACCTCAGGCAATCAACGTGCCTCAGCCTCCCAAAGGGCCTAGCTAGTAAATTATTTATTTTAGATATTGCAGGTATTCCTCATTAAGATTTTCATTAGGGCCGGGCACGGTGGCTCAAGCCTGTAATCCCAGCACTTTGGGAGGCCGAGGCGGGTGGATCACGAGGTCAAGAGATCGAGACCATCCTGGTCAACATGGTGAAACCCCGTCTCTACTAAAAATACAAAAAATTAGCTGGGCATGGTGGCGCGTGCCTGTAATCCCAGCTACTCAGGAGGCTGAGGCAGGAGAATTGCCTGAACCCAGGAGGCGGAGGTTGCAGTGAGCTGAGATCGTGCCACTACACTCCAGCCTGGGTAACAAGAGCGAAACTCCGTCTAAAAAAAAAAAAAAAAAAAAATATTTTCATTAGGGTTTTTTCCCATTTCTATTTCTCTTCTAAGATTGCCTGTCTGTTCACTCATTATGACTGTTAAGTTTTTGAACTTTTTTTTTTGAGGCAGAGTCTCCCTCTGTCACCCAGGCTGGAGGGCAATGGCGTGATCTCGGCTCACTGCAACCTATGCCTCCCAGATTCAAGCAATTCTCCCGCCTCAGCCTCCTTAATAGCTGGGACTACAGGTGTGTGCCACCACACCCTGCTAATTTATATATTTTTAGTAAAGACAGTATTTCATTATGTTGGCCAGGCTGGTCTCCAAATCCTGACCTTGTGGTCTGCCCACCTCGGCCTCCCAGAGTGCTAGGTAAATTACAGGCATGAGCCACTGTGCCTGCCTTTTATTTTTGTTCTTGTTTTGAGACAAGAGTCTCACTGTTGCCCAGGCCAGGCTGGAAGTGCAATGGAGTGATTTCAGCTCACTGCAACCTCTACCTCCCCAGTTCAAACGATTCTTCTGCTTCAGCCTTCCAAGTAGCTGGGACTTGTCACGTGTCACCATGCCCAGCTAATTTTTTTTTTTGAGACAGAGTCCCCCTCCCAGGTTCAAGTGATTCTTCTGCCTCCCGAGTAGCTGGGATTACAGGCGCGTGCCACCATGCCTAATTTCTGAATTTTTAGTAGAGATGGGATTTCAGTGTTGGCCAGACTGGTCTCAACCTTCTGACCTCGTGATCCACCTGCCTTGGTCTCCCAAAGTGCTGGGATTACAGGTGTGAGCCATTGCACCTGGCCTGAAACATGTTATTAAAAGAAACACCCAGGCTGGGTACGGTAGTCCCAGCTACTTGGGAGGCAGAGATGAGGGAATTGCTTGAACCCGGGAGACAGAGGTTGCAGTCAGCTGAGATTGTGCCACTGCACTCCAGCTTGGGCAAGAGAGACTCATTTCAAAAAATAAATACATTTTAAAAAGAAAAAAGTTAACTAGTACTAATATGCCACTGCTATAACATAGCAAATTAAAACAATGGCATTACTTCTTCAAAATTAAATTATCTCAACTTGGCATTTTTTTTTCTTTTTTGAGATGGAGTCTTGCTTTGTTACCCGGGCTTCAGTGCAGGGGTGCGATCTCGGCTTACTGCAACCTCCACTTCTCAGGTTCAAGCAATTCTCCTGCCTCAGCCTCCTGAGTAGCTGGGATTACAGGCACATACCACCAGACCCAGCTAATTTTCTGTATGTTGTATTTTTTTTTTTTTAAGTAGCAATGGGGTTTCACCATGTTGGCCAGGCTGGTCTCGAACTCCGGACCTCATGATCCGCCAGCCTCAGCCTCCCAAAGTGCTGAGATTATAGGTGTGAGCCACCGTGCCTGGCCTGAACTTGGCATTTTCTCAGCCTTAGACTTCACAGAACTTACAGTCAACACACAACCCCTATCTCCACTGCCTCCCTCTTCCAGCTCAAGTCTATGTTCTATGAAAAATAAGACACGCAGATGTGGTGGCGCACACCTGTAGTCCCAGCTACTCACAAGGCTGAAGCAGGACTACCTCAGCCCAGGAGGTTGAGGCTGCAGTGAGGGGTGATGGCATCACTGCACTCAGCCTGAGTGAAAGAGTAAGACACTATCTCAAAAAAAAAAAAAAAAGAGAAAAATATGTAAGAAAAATAAACTAGAATGAAAACACTGTAACTTCTTAAATAACATATTTAAAGTATCTTTTACATAGTAAGTGTTAATGACATGTTAGTTATTATTCCATAGCTGCTAATTTTTTAGGAACCACCTAAAAATTTCTGCTGTTTTTAAAATCAAATTTTAAAAATAGGTTGCAATCTCAGTATGGAAAGGCATGATCCGGCTGGGCACAGTGGCTCACACCTGTAATCCCAACACTTTAGGAAGCCGATGCAGGTAGATCACCTTAGGTCAGGAGTTCAAGACCAGCCTGGACAACAATGATGAAACCCTGTGTCTACTAAAAATACAAAAATTAGCCAGGTATAGTGGAGCGTGCCTATAGTCCCAGCTACTTGGGAGGCTGAGGCGGGAGAATCACTTGAACCTGGAAGGTGGAGGCTGCAGTGAGCCGAAATTGTGCCACTGCACTTCAGCCTGGCCGACAGAGCAAGACTCTGTCTCAAAAAAA